GGAAACCTACAGAATGGGAGAAGACATAGCTGATAAAGGGCTAGAATCCAAAATATATAAAGAACTTATAGGGACCCCTGGGTGGCTCAGTGGTTGAGAGCATCTGTCTTTCTCTCAGGGTGTGATCCTGAAGTCCCAGGATCAAGTCCCACATCGGGCTCCTTGCATGGAGCTTGCTTCTCCTCCTTCTACCTCTCTGTCTCTCATGAGTAAATAGATAAAATATTTTTTTAAAAAAGAACATATTCAGCAGTCCCAAAAATGAATAATTCAACTTAAAAATGAGCAGAAGACATGAACAGACATTTCTCCAAAGACATCTAAATGGCCAACAGACAGATAAAAAGATGCTCCACATCACTTATCATCAGGGAAATGCAAATCAAAAGTACCATGACATATCACCTCACACCTGTCAAAATGACTATCAACACAAGAAACAACAGGCGTTGGCGAGGACGCGGAGAGAGGGGAGCCCTATTGGACTGTTGGTGGGAATGCAAACTGGTGCAGCCACTATGGAACACAGTGTGGAGGTTCCTCAAAAAGTTAAAAATAGAACTACGCTGCAATCCAGCAATTGCACTATGAGGTATTAGCCCAAGGAATACAAAAATACTAATTCAAAGGGATACGTGCACCCAGATGTTTATAGCTGCGTTATCTACAGTAGCCAAATTATGGAAACAGTCCAAGTGTCCATCTACTGATGAATGGATAAAGCAGTGGTGTGTGTATAAATACACATATAAATGTATATGTATATATATATACAATGCAATATTAGTGATCAAAAAATAAAATCTTGCCCTTTGCAATGACATGGATGGAGGTTGAGAATATTATGCAAAGCAAAATAAGTCAGAGAAAGACAAATACCATATAATTTCACTCCTGTGGAATTTAAGAAACAAAACAAATGAGCAAAGGGGAAAAGAGAGAGAGGCAAACCAAGAAACAGACTCAACTATAGAGAACAAGCCAGTGGTTACCAGGGGGTAGGGGGGTGGGGGGATGGGGGAAATAGGTGATGAGGGTTAACGAGCACACTTGTGATGAGCACCAGGTGATGTACAGAAGTATTGAATCACTATATTGTACACCTGAAACTAATATTACACTTTATGTTGACTAATTGGAATTTAAATAAAAACTTTTTTTTTAAAAAAAAAGAAGAAATATATGGTATTTTGTGTTGATTTTTCTACTTTGAGTTTGCTCATGTGAAAACCTTTTTTTAAAATATTTTACTTGGGCAGTCCTCGTGGCTCAGCGGTTTAGCGCTGCCTTTAGCCCAGGGCCTGGTCCTGGGGACCTGGGATAAAGTCCCACATCAGGCTCCCTGCATGGGGCCTGCTTCTCCTTCTGACTATGTCTCTGCCTCTCTCTCTCTCTCACTGCGTCTCTCATGAATAAATAAAATATTTTAAAAATAAAATAAATAAAAGATTTTACTTATTTATTTATTTATGAGAGAGAGGGCTAGAGAGAGCACAAGCAGGAGGAGGGCCAGAAGGAGAAGCAGACTCCCTGCCGAATAGGGAGCCCAACTCAGGGCTCGATCCCAGGACCAAAGATCATGACCTGAGCTGAAGGAAGACACTTAGCAGATTGAACCACCCAGGTGCCCCTGAAAATATTTTTTGATGTTTCCTTTTTAAAATATACACTTCCATATATTTTAAATATATATATATACACACACACAGAGTTTTAGAGGAGAAAAGTTATCGAAATAATCAATTAATTCAAAGTCTAAATGATAAAGAAACTCGGCCAGTTTGCTGATGCAAGAGCTTAAGTCCCATCTTTTTGTTCTGAATCCGGTGTTCTTTCCACGACCAGGAATGGATATGCACCCTGAAAACAAAATGACCTAATACTTATTGCCTGAGGTGTACAAAATATTAAAGTATGTGATATATCTAACAGTTCAGGTGGATTGAGGGAAAAGCAGGTGAACTAGAAACAAAACACTAAGATGCCTGGATTATCGTGGTTCCTAACTTCAGCAACTCGACGGAGCCTCGGGCAGTAGTTTCACTTAGGGCCATCCTTAATCTCTAGTAATTATTCCTCCCAACTTCCCGCTGAGTGACTGAACAAGTAACCACAATTGGTAACTGCAAGACAAGATGGTCTCTAAAATGGCTTCTACTGCAAAACACTCATCGCTAATTGCGTGGTCTCTTTCTTTTCCACACGGGTACTTTCCTTTTCACTGGCCCACCAGGTAACTGCTGTTAAAAAATCTGTATTGCATTTGCCTGGTATTTGTAAGAAAATGTCCTACTTTCTTTTGGCACAGGAGAGGTCTTTATACACACCAACAGAGAGTATTCTAACTATATTTCTACAGGGACAACATTGCCTCAAATTTTTTTGTCTTTAATATTATTTGATGTTTTCTGGAATAATGACTCTTGGTGCATCAAAATTCTTTTCTATCAATTGTTTTGACAACTAAAAGCAAAGTTCAAGAAGAGGTTTCTAATCCAACATCACTTATTCTATTTTTAGTTTACACTGACGGTTGCGTTTGAAAATCACTTGTGATTTTAACAGTTAAATGAATATTGAGAAGTTGCGACAGAGGATTATGCAGGGGTGGCACTGCACAATGCCAAAGGGTGCCAAGCATACCATTCATAATGGATGTGGATGATGCCCTATCTGGACTTGTGCCATGTACGGCTTGCATGGCCATGGATGGTGGCATCATCTCTATGGGGGCTCACTTCCCTAGAATTATTTAAAGAGTTGAAGAGTCAATCAGTCTCACATGCTTTGTTTGCATTCTTCAGCAATTATTTCCTCTTTTCCTTTGTTTTGCGAACTCGTTCCAGGTCTTGAATACATAGACTGCATGCCGAACAGAATCTGAACTTTGATCTGTGATGATGACGGAGGGAAGACTTTTAGCCCAAAAGATTATTAAAAGTAGAGATCTAAATAGGAAGGTACAGGTTCAAATCCCCATTCAGCAATCTGCACAAGTCATTTATGGAACAAGAGATTTTCTCCAGGTGTATGTGAAGGTAGAAGAACCTAACTTACCTCCCTTAGTTCCTGCGGTGAGGTAATGAAATTGAAACCACCCAACACTTTCCTGCCATCTATGGGATGGAGTGAGGGATTCAGCAGATATTTAAAAAAAAAAACAAAAAACAAAAAAAAAAAAAACCTTGAAGTAATTTCTATGACAGCCTTGAGATTTAGCCCAATCATTGACTTAAAGACCATCATTCATTGATGTTAACCTAAGGGATTCAAGCAGAGCAGCTGCCAACTTATGGAGAAACTAAGTCAAAACTTGGAAAGATGGGGGAGGGAGGAGGCATGTATAACCAAATCGTAGTAAGACAAATATAAATTAATAATAAATACACATGTATAATCAACTTGACTGGTAATCAAGGAGGTGCAAATATAAAAATCAGTGGGAAAATCTTTCTCACCTATCAAATTAACAAAGATGAAAAAAATTGATGCTGGGGAAGTTGAAATGATATACCATCACCCTGCACTAGCACGACTATAAATTAGCATCATTTTTTAGTAAAAATAAATAAATAAATAAATAAATAAATAAATAAATAAATAAATAACAGCAGGACACTGGAACATTAAAAAGTTAATGCTCTTTGACTTAGAAATCCCGCTCAAGAGAATAATCCTAATGAAATAACCCCAAAATGCACACGTAAAGATGTCCATGAGGATGCATATTGGCTTGGGAAAAAATTGGCCCCCAAAAATCCCCCTTCCAAAAAAAAAAAAACCCTACTTATTCTTTTAATGAAATAAAATCATGGTATATCCATCCAGTAGGACATGCAGAATCTAAATGACTTTTTAGCGGAATGCTAAACGGCATGGAAAACGAATGTATCTAGCGTTAAGGGAGGAAGACGCAGCAGACTTCCACTTTAAAATTCATCATTTTGAGTGTACTTTGTGGGAGGTACGTACAGTCAAGGGCAGCATAGGGCTGTAAAGCCCACGCCTGGGCTATTTTCATAAAGCTCAAAAAGAGGCAAAACTAAATAAACCATTGTGTTCAAGGCCATGACAGGCGTCACGTTTGGGAAGTAAAAAAAAGAAAAAAGAAAAAGAAAAAAGGTAACAATTAGGAGGGGTTTCTGGTGTGCTAGGAGCGTCCTATTTCTTTCATCTGGGTGGTTTGCTTGCCCTTCCGTGTCCTCTTTGCGATGATTCATCGGGCACGTTGCAGTGTAATTCATTCTTCTGCAGGGGCACCGTATTCCAATAAAAAAATGATACCAAGATGCTTTGTTAAACTATGAGGAAAGGCAAACGGTCGTCACACAATTCCTAACAGAGGAGAGGAAGGATGCGGTCCCCAGGGCGCCCTGGGCTTCTCCAAATGTTTGAACGTTCTCCCTAAAACGTGCGGGGCATACGCGGCCGCCCCCTGGACACCCACGAGCAGGGTCCTGAAGTCCCACATACCTGGATCTTGGAGGGAAAATATTGTTCTTTGAAAACTAAAAGCTGCGCGAGCGCGTACGGAGTCGGCCTCACACCCGCATACGCAGAGCACAGACATACAACCCACGGTCTCCGTTTTCTCTTTAGCACACAGGTCGTTTTCATTTTACCAGTTTACGTACGTCATTTTCGAATTTTCCAAATCATCCCTAAACATCCTAGTACTTTTAGAACCTGAAAACAAAAATACAAACTTTTTTTTTTTTTCAAGATCAAACAAAAACCCGTGCCCCGCACCGAGAAGACCTGGAGAGGCCGGCGGCAGGTGCAGCAGGTGGGCGGGGCCTCTGTGGAGGAGCGGGTCACGTGACCACTAGCGGGCGGGGCCTTTGCGGAGGGGGTGGGGCGGGGCCGTGTGACAGCAGGTGGGTGGGGCCTGCGTAGAGGGGAGGGCCGGATCACGTGACAGCCAGCGGGCGCGGCCTTCGCGGAGGTGTGGGGGCACGTGATCGCGGGTGGGCAGGGCCTTGTGGAGGAGGGTGGGCGGGTCACGTGACAGCAGGCGGGTGGGACGCCTTACCGAGGGGGAGGGGGTGGGGCCGCGTGACAGCCGGTGGGCGGGGCCTCGCGGAGGTGTGGACCCACGTGGCAGCCGGTGGGCGGGGCCTCGCGGAGGGGCGGGCGGGCCACGTGACAGCAGGCGGGTGGGACGCCTTACCGAGGGGGATGGGGTGGGGCCGCGTGACAGCCGGTGGGCGGGGCCTCGCGGAGGTGTGGACCCACGTGGCAGCCGGTGGGCGGGGCCTCGCGGAGGGGGCGGGCGGGCCACGTGACAGCAGGCGGGTGGGAAGCCTTACCGAGGGGGATGGGGTGGGGCCGCGTGACAGCCGGTGGGCGGGGCCTCGCGGAGGTGTGGACCCACGTGGCAGCCGGTGGGCGGGGCCTCGCGGAGGGGCGGGCGGGCCACGTGACAGCAGGCGGGTGGGACGCCTTACCGAGGGGGATGGGGTGGGGCCGCGTGACAGCCGGTGGGCGGGGCCTCGCGGAGGCGTGGACTCACGTGACAGCCGGCGGGCGGGCCTTGCAGGGGCGGGGCCTCGCGGACCGCGACCGTCGGGCGCAGGTGGGGCCGCCTGGACCCCGGGGTGTGCAGATGCGTCGCCCCCGGCTGCGCCGAGCCGCGGCTGCGTAGGTAGGAGGAGGCCACCTGTGCCGGGTACAGCCTCTAGCCTCTCCCGGCTCGGCGGGGGCGGTGCGCCAGGAGGTCGGGGAGCCCTGGGCCCCGGTGCGCCCCGAGGAGGCCCCGGGCAGTTGGAGGCGGGGAGTTCCGAGCCCCGGCGGCCCCGCCCGAGGAGGGGAGCCGACGCCCACCTGGCTGCGGAGTAGCACATGCTTTTGCCGCTCAGTTTCGTCCGCGCGGTGCACAGTGCGAGGCCGGTTACCTCTGACCGAGGGAAGGATGACGACGAGATCACGGACCAGGTTCTGTTTCCCCCCCCCCCCCGGATCATTTGCGGTCCGAGCTGTTCCCTTAGCCCCCGGTACTGCGGCCGCCTGGGTGCCGAGCTCCACGGAGCGGGGCCTCCCCGCACCCGGGCCGCGCACCTGCCCGCAGGTGAGCTGCGGGCTGCGCGGCCGGACACAGCGAGCCCTGGGGAGGCGCCCCGGGGACCCCGCCCCGACCAGCGCGCCCTGCACAGTGGCTCGGCCTGGGAAGGGTCCTCGAACCCGTCTGAAGTTTCCCGTGCCTGGTCCATAAAGGAGCGGGAGGTACCGTCAGGGTCCCCGTTTCTGAAACGCTAGCTGAGCGTTTGCCATTTTCAGCGAGCCACTAGGTTGGGAGAAATGCATGAAACCGATTTGTAGAGATGAGCGTGTTTGACCGCTTAGGACCGACCTCAGGGCGCTGGTGAGGTCCTCGTGCAGCGGAAGGCCGAGGCTTTGGGCCCCGGGTGCCGGCCACGTGCTCCCCCATGTGCTTGCACGCTGGGGGCGCTATTTTCATCCAAACGGAAAAATTAATCTGATGAGGGCCCAAAAATAATATTTTACAAGGTTATGTGGGTTTTTTTTTTTTTTTTAATGTGTGGTAGGAGCTCAAATAGTTTTGTAAAGTGAAAGGTAAAGGGAGAAGAGAAAAAGAATGTGCTGGAAGCAAGAATCCTTCAAACTGCCTAACTCTGCACCTTCCGTAGTCTTCTTCCTTGTCTTGATTTGAGTAAGTAATGGAATATTATTCTGATAGGAGAGAAAAGGTTACAACTGCAGGTGAGATTATGTTGCCTGGTGTGTCACAGAGGCTTAAAGTAATTTTTAAACCTCTCTTCCAAGTGCATAGAAGCAGCCCAAGGTGGTAGCCGTCATGGTGTGCAACACAAGTACGTAATCAAGGTGGAACTCGGGGTTTTTTTTGTTGTTGTTCCTAAAGTGGACTTTTCTTTTAAGTACCTGTTCAACCCTGTTCCATCTGTTACTCATCAGTGTTGTTATAACCAAATGGCTAAAGCTTCCAATCTGGTCATTTTCCAAGATATTTCGAAAGTGAAGTCATTTTAAAAGCCATTCAGGAAAAAAGACTTTTTTTTTTTTTTTTTGCCACTGTTCAGAATGGAAAATAACTGCTTATAACAGAAACTAACCCTAAAGTCATAAAGCTGTCCATCGTCTGAGCAGTGAAACTAGTGCATCGGACGTTGATTACAACTTAAAAGAAAACAACAAATGAAGATGAATCCTAATCAGGAGATGCAGAACCTTAGACTGATCTCCAGTCATAAACCCATAGTTTATTCCTTACTGTAGCAGAATATTTTCAATTAAGACACAATGACTGAAACCACACCTCTGTACTAAAACTACATCCTCTCTAGAATTTGACTCTAATTTCTGCCTTTCTTTTCTTTGATATGTCAGTTGAAAATAGATAAGTAAGTGCCCTAATAAAGGTAGGCTAACAAAAGCCATACAAACCATATGCTCAAGGGTTTTTAAACCCTTTGATATCAGGGAGCCCAGAATATTATCTTTTAACTAGTGTAAAATATATTGAGTCATTTTTCTGGAAGATACCATTCAAGTTATAACATTTTGTACCCATGAAGAGCCTTGTTGAATTTTTTTCAGTGACATCGATACAATACTACAGCATTCTAGCTTAAAGATTACTAAGGGATGACTATAACTTATCACACCTCTGGCTAAATTTAAAAATGTACACGATAAAAAAAATAATAAAAAATATACACAATAAAGGAGCCTGATCCATGTGTCCATTAGAAAGAACATTTTCCTAATTGTCCAATTTTTTAACTTGCTGAGCAATAACAGCAATAGTAAAAATGACAACAATATTATGATACTTAAAAATTATTGAACACCTACTATTATCAGGTAACCTTCAGTTATTCTTAACCACATGAAGCAGATATTATCGTCAACACCATTTTGTAAATGAGGAAACTGAGGATCCGATGGTCATGATCATTATCAATATCATTCTAAATTATATGATGGGAAAAACTTGTAAAATAAGCATGATAGCAGATTCAGCTTTATCTCTATGTTGTAGAAAGCCTTTGGGGTAAAATTATCCGCATACTGTATGATGTGATATACAACTAGTATGAAATATTCAGGATTCATGTATTTGAATCACTTAATATTTCACAAATTTTAGGCAACTTTGAAAGGTAATTGAGCTGATTCGACACAGGATGTATAATAGAGCATGTACTTTTAACCTTGATGAGTTTTTAAAAGCTGAAGTCACATCGCAATCTAGAATTGCATGACAAGTAAGAAATTGATTTGTGTAGAATAGTTTTAAGTAAATAATTTTAAGCAGATCATTTAAAATAAAATGTTTCAGAAAGACTAGCATAATTAGTGAATAGAAATAAAAATCAGTAATATAAATCAAAGCTCTTGAGTTCCAATTTCTTTGCACAGATGAATTAGTTCTATGTGGCTATTAAGTAAATAACAGCTAGTAAATCTTAATAAATAATAAAATATTGATTATTAAATAATAAATCTTAGGGATCCTGGGTGGCTCAGTGGTTGAGCATCTGCCTTCAGCTCAGGCTGTGATCCCAGGTTCCTGGGATCAAGTCACGCGTAGGGCTCCCTGCATGGAGCCTGCTTCTCCCTCGGCCGGTGTCTCTGCCCCTCTCTCTCTGTCTCTCATGAATTAATAATAAATCTTGTTGATCAATAAATATGATTTATTAAAGTAAATAAGATTTACTTAAATAAGTTGTACATGTGCCCTTTCAAAAGTAAGCATTAATATATGGAACCAAAATTTAGAAAGTAAGATTAAATTTCCTTCAGCAGAGGAAGGGAATTGCATGTAACTCTGAGCTCGTGGTTTTTAAGTGTGTTTGAAAATATAGACTTGAAAATGTTGGTCTTGCTTTACTTTAGGCACCTTTAGTTGTTACTTACTAGGATGATAGCTCCACATGTTAGTTTAGAAGTTCCTGGCACTCAACCTGGCCCGTATTTCTCTCTAGAATAACTTTCCTTAGGAAATGCCACATTGTGGGTGTTCATCTGATTTCACATGCATGAATGCTTCAGTGCTCTCCCACTAGTTATCACTTAAATTCCTATTAGCCAGCATAACTCAAGCAGAAGAATTCAATGCTGTCTTTAAAGACCAGCTAAGTTATAGCTTGGGAAGGCACCGTATTGTCACCCCCCCTTCCCAAAAAAGGGTGCATTTAACTTGTTAGAAATCAGCTCAATTTTATTAATGTGGAGGTGTAAGGAATAAAACTGTGACATAATAACCACTTCATGTCCCTATTGAGCAGACATTTGGAAACCTAAGCTTTAGCAGTTAAAAAAAAAAAAAAGGATTACAGTAACCCATGGCCTCCACAGTCAGCTCTTGTATATATTCCTAGGCTGAACATACCGAGTCTCTACTTTAGAAACGCGTGTGTCTGTGTGTGTCCGTGTTGACAGTCCATGGAACCCTACTCAGAGAAGGAAGGTAATAGAGGAAGGAACACAGAGTTGACTAAATCTCCCTAAATACTAGGGGCAAGGCTTAATTAAAACATTCTCAGAAGTTCATGTCTCAGTTAATGTCCCCATCTTTTACGTTCACTAACATAGTTAACAGTGAAAGGAACATCACGTTAAACATGAGGGTCATTACCACCGAAAGGGACAAGACTTGATATACATTAGAAATGACACAGTTTATGGATTTATACCTTTCAGCCTATACAGAATCCCTTCAGCTTTTGCCCGTACATTCCCTGACAAATTCCATAAATGTAGAAAAGTAGAGATAATCTGCAGTTCGTAGAAGATTTATCTTCTCATGCAGTTGCCATTGTCCTCCTTTTCCTTGCAGAGGAATGTTACTTTGTTATTAGAGAATTTGTTCAACTATTACCCACACTAAACTGGTCATCTGGCTTTGTTCTTATCTTCCAATGGCAGATGACCACCTCTGTTTTCCACTTACCTTTCCGTCTTCCTAATCCTTTATATTCTTTCAGATCTTTCTTCTCTACAATAAGGATAATGCATCCCAAGAATAATGGGATGGACTTGGAGGTAGGGGGAGGAGAAAGCTGTAAATTGAAAAAAATTCCCTCCTGTCCTCACTATTGACACATCCTTCTTCCAACCTTTTCCTTAGGATTGAGTGTTGACTGAAATAAGGTTGGTCCTAAAGTCATTGATCTGGTTATCAGATCATCATACTTCTCAATTAATATAACAAATAATTGTAGAGAGAATGGATCATGAGTGAGCAAGTACAGAAGGGTTTTCTTTAACCGTAACTAAATTTTAAAAAGGTATGATAATGATAGCAAACAACTTCTTCATGTCCAGTGCCGTTTGTTTAGGCTCTTTAGGGCCTTCAGAAACACATAATCTCTTCCTCTCAATACACCATATATACACAGTCTAACAGTTTCCAACCCACTTGCATGAACTGCATTTCATTTGTTTTGTGTGGTTGTGCATTTTGTAGAAAAACACCTCCTATCAAATTCTTCCCCGACATTATCACTTTTACTTACAGACAATGCAGAGATTGTAGGTGGGGTAGGTAGAGGGACATGTGTTTAGGAAAGTTTTACTTTAGGAAAACTCAGTTTTTTATCTGTGAAATTTTAAACTATCTTGGCCTGCCATTTTCTTAATGTAAACCTCTTACTGATGTGTATAACATATATTTAATAAAGGACACAAATTATAAATATACAGCTCAAAATAGAGATAGATGATTAGATGGATGGATTAGATGGATAGATAGATTTAAAAAAATGGTGAGATCAGTAGACCCAGGAACTCCCTCTTGGCCCATTTCAGTTACTACCCACCCTCTCAAGGGTAACCACTATTATGATTTCTAACACCACAA